CTTGCTGGGTTAGAAAATGGTCTGTTTGTTTTTGAATTTCGCGCAAAACTACTCAAGAGCTAATTATCCCTAATTTAGCTACACAACACATCTCACCGTCAACTCTTGGGCTACTCTTTTACCAATAAAAAAGTGGAATTGACCGTCACTTTATAATTCCTCCACAGTTGAAAGGATAAGCATGTTCGGTACCGTCAAGCTCCTTAACCACCAGGCTATGCCAGAGCCATTGAAAATATAAATCAAAATCAAACACAACCAAGAATACCAGTAAAATTCTAGTCATGCATAACTTCTGACATTTTTCGTGAGGAAACAACACCTACAAGCATGAAAGTATGCACGCTCGAGCGATGAGTCATCCACAGTGAAAAAGATGTAGCGGAAACTGCACAATAAGATTCATGTGTTATGTTAGGTATGCATCACAGGCAGTCTTTAACTGAAGTGGTACAGTCCAAAATATGAGAGGAGGGGGATCACTTCACTCCCATATGGTTAAGCTTTTCTATTTTGTTACATTTTAAACATCCTTGTAAGGAATATATCTACAAGGCACCACAAGATCACCACCGAGGGACCAAAGAAATGATAAATAGATGTTTTTAATTTCGGGCTGGGACGTCCTTCTGGTATTTGTAAAGTTGTGAACATTGAATAATAGTTGTTTTTCACTTATCATTTGCTTGTGATTTGAATTTTATTTTTCTCTTATTTCAATTTAATTGTACCACAGGTCAGCGGTAAGTTAACGGACTACAGCGCTAAAATCCGGGATTCGATTCTCGTGGTGGACAGGGAGCATATAGCTCATTGTGTGGCTTTTCACCAAGAGAAAAATAACAATTTGTTTGTGGTACAAGTTTTGTTTCCCATCTTTGAATTCCACTAAAGATCTAGTACAATAATACTAATGTATATAAAACACAAAAATGCGAAACCTTATAACCAAAGTGCTTTCGAAAACGCTCAGGTTATAGGGTTTCGTATTTTTGTGTTATCTTGATCTGTTGAACGTACGTGTTTTTCAAACATCATGAATATATATATATACATAATTTACAATTAAAATATTCTAAATGCATTTCCTTTTTATCCAGTTTTAAATAAATCATTCACAAGAACGAAATTTAAAGCATTTATTCATGACACACTATTTAGCTGGCGTTCAACACTCTGTTTGGATAGTAAACGTGACATTCAAATTTGTAGAGGAGAATGACATTTCGATAATACTTGGGTTTGCCTCAAGTGGGATGGGGTGTTTATCTTGTAGTTTCGTGACGTTGTTCAGTCAACCCAAGCTTGATGTAAGATAGAAAATATACCCCTGTTTGTTTTTGCGCAAAGCTATATAGTATTCAATCTGCGATCTGTCCACCAGCAGTAGTTGTACCACGGATATTAGCGTTGCAAGTCCGTGAATTTCCTGCTGACCCATTAATGAGGACATATATATATGTCATGTCACGTGAAATATTACATTGAAATATATATAAAAAAAAATTCTGCGTTGCTTTTTCACTCTCTTTGACGTGTATCCACGATATTTCCTCTCCACAGAAATCGCCCCCGAAGTAGGTGTAAAAGGATGTATTCAATTTAGGTGTTTAAGTGGGAAGAGATAAAAACTAGAGGGAATCCTCAATAGCCGCGGCACTTGAATTTTTTTTTAAGGCAGAATTAGAGTAAATTAATCTAAGGGACCTCCCCCCCCTTTATTAGCTATATTTTTGTGCGCTAGCAATACTAAGCGTGGTGCGCGCGTATACCCGATTCAGTTTTATTACTTATCAGGACCTCTACCAGCCTACCCTCAATTTGAAATTCTTTTGGGCCGAATTAGAGTAAATTAATCTATGTGATCTTGGGCGTGACCAAATACATCAGCCGAAAGGGCTTGACCTCCTGTGTCCAATACTATAATTAGATCTCAAATCGGTCAAGAAATGACGGAGCCAAGAGCTAAAAGTATGTACTTGAAAAAATAAAATAAAAAACTGAGATCCGCAGCTAAAAGTCATTTTATTGGCTAGTTCTACAAACGTTTTACAAAACACGAGGAAAACACGTACACCTTAGCTGATCTCTAATTATTCTTTTTTTGTCTCAATTAATTGGATGAGTGCGTTGAAATTTATAACAATACTAAACTCAATTAAATTTTTAATTTTCGATCTATATACGCTAACCCAGCTTTTGTAAACACATGAACCCAGACAGATACAATTTTAATCACATTCCTTCATCTATTGTAATGATCTATCACCACTAGCGACATCTCTTAGTAGTTTTAGATACACGTAGTAAAAAAATATTTCAAATAAACATTTACAAAACGTACTAACAGACAATATTTAAATACTATATTTTAAAGAAAGTCCAGTAATTCTTAAATAAATTTGATTACACAGGACTGCGAGTTTAAACTTCATAAAAGTTGTTATGGTTTTTTGATAACCGATTTTCTATAATTCAGCTACGCAGATTTCGTTATTTATATTAACTTTTTTCTATCACGTAAAGATTTTTTTTTACAAATCGGGAAGAAAAAACTTTTACTTAGATCAAATTATTATTTCGTTTACCACAATGAACATTTTTTATTACTATGTTTGTTAACAAAAATAAAAACAAACCGAAGTAAAGGGAAGAACATTGATGTCAAACGAATATGTATCTTCATTTTTGTGTGTGTGTGAAATCTACGTCTTTTAGTTTCAAAAGTACACGTTGTGGTCTTTCTTTTATGTATTGCGTTATGTGAAAAATCTGTATGTGAAGGAAAAAAATATAATTTTCGGATTCAGTGTACAGGAGTTACTATAGAACATGTATACATTTCAAAACAATAAAACCATCGCAAGCCTGTGTTAATATTTTAATATAACTAATTCAGTTCTAGTATTATACATGTCGTGTGTCTGCGTTGTAAGTGCAAAACTGCGGAATGTATTATCCGTATAGGACCTACTAATGGAATCTATCTCTGGACTTTGACGTCGTAAGCCCCGAATCTGCACTACAAAAAGTGTATGTAGTGTCTATACTAAATTTTGAATTTAAAGAAGTGGAAATGAATACCTTATGTTAACAGTTTTTCTCACCCTGTGCCAGATTATTGACGGTTCTCTTAACCTCAAATTACAAACTTGTATTAATGTTGTCTACTATCGATGTGGATCACATATTGCATCACAGTGAGTCATCTTATCCTGTTACAAACTCCCTCTGTAAAAGAACTACCAAAGCAAATGAGTGAAATCACTCATTTTAATTTAAAATATATAAACAAGCCGTAATTAGTGAGGTTTTCTATAATATTGATGGCATTTTTGTGTAACACTTGTTCTTCGAGGTGGCGTAACCAAAAGTTATGAATTCGAAAAGCAACCGAGCATGCAAGTAGTTAGTACTATTTGTTGAATTTAGCTCAAACCTACTCGAGGGCTATCTGCACCACCTACTCCCAATTTTTGAGCTATTCTTTTACAAATGAAAAGTGGGACTTATAACGCTCCCTTGACTAAAAGGGCGAGCATACTTAGCGACAGGATTTGAATCAACAACCTGCAGATTGCAAGTTTAGCCCCCTAAACCGGCAGGATATGCCAGGCAAAGTAGTTAGTGAAAGAGGCTCATCAAACCACGAGGGTTAACATGGACTCTTATTATTAATCGTAAGGTTAAAAATATATATTACTTGAGACATATAGTTAACCGTACAAACAGTATTTTCAAAAAATCTTGCTTTCTTTAATATCCATCAAAATATGTTTTGGTAAGATTGTCAAAACATCTATTCAATCTTGCAAAATACTAGTCGTGACAGTCTAGGGTAGGTGATAAATCCAGATTTCTGGCTGAGCACTCTTCTCTTATGCAAAACACACAAATATTTCAAATGTGGCTTCTGAAAAAGTTTTAATGGCGAGCAACCTCTTTTTTTTTCAGGAGGGTTTCTGGGTTGTGAACCTGAAATTCATGATTTGTGATCCATTGGTACAAAAATGCACTCCTTACTTATGGCCCTTTAAAAGCGTGACAGTCAACTCCTACCATTTACTCAGAAAAAAGAGTAACACGAGATTTGGCAGCGAGTAATGTTGATTAGCCGCCTTCCAATCTATCATTTGAAAATAAAGATATTCTTCATGTAGTTTTGCACAAAAGTCTTAACAAAATGTATTCTTGTTGTGCTTGTAATATACGTTTTTAAAATCGTCTACATTCCTCGCTTTTATTTCATTTCTGTATCAGAGTAAGAGAGTTTAATGTGACAGTGTATGTTAAAAAATAACAAAAATGAAACATCAATAAAAATAGACATTGTAATTTTTTAATACAAACATTTATACAAAGTAGCCTCATGCTTAACAACTGGAAAAATATCATCCTAGACGACAAATTTATAGGAAATTCCTTCATTATTATTGTCAGCTAATCAGATTTTCTTAATAAGGTGATGTCAACAATGAGAATAAGAAAACTGACACATTTACTGCTTTACAGCTATTAAGTCATAATATGTATATAGGGACACACACATACATATATATATATATATATACTGGCAAATAAAAAAGTTTTTCGGAAGTTTTTATAATCAATTTTAAAATATTTTATTAGATAAATATTCAATGAGGAAAAAAACCTTTTTTTGTCACTAGAGGTAGATAGCTACCTTTAATATGCAAGATAAATTTATTCAGTATAGCTGAGACTGGAAAGACTAACTTGAAGTAGTTGGGTTTGTCTCACCTATCCCATGCTATACTTGAATAGTGTGATAATATTAACTACTTAAGGTAAGTCTTGTAGTTCTTTTAAGATCTTTTTCTTAATTAATTTTCAGAAAAAGGTGGAGGTTGGGAGTAACATGAAGTAGAATTATTAGGGTGGTATTTATTCTACTTTAAGGATTTTTTAGAACTTTTAAGGATGGAGGATGGTAGGCATTGTTTAGTAAAAATATATATTTTTGGAGTGGCTTAATTTTATCTCATTTCTACTTTTAACTTTATTACATCTTTTTAAGGGTAACTGCCTTCCCACAACTGGTTACAGACAGTGAAAGGCAGTAAGAGTTGATGTTGTGGGTATTAAGCACTCAACTCTGTACCCTTATTGAATTTTCCATGACTACCGACTGGTTTCTCATCTGCTTTTTTGGATTTTGTCTGATAGATGGGATATCCCTAATGCTTTTGGGCACTATTACCACAGGCAATCTCCGTTATGACTTTTAGATAACAGAGTGAAAAAAAAGACTTTATTGATAAAACACTTGAATTTGAAAGTCTGGTTAAAAATAAAAAATATAATAATGCATTTACTGATAAAAAGACTTCACTACTTTGGCTTAGATCAAGGTATTTTATTAATAAAACAGCTGACTTTAAAAGTTTGATTGGAGCCAAAGATTAAAAGTAGAAGCAATTATTGAGTAAACCTTCAGTTTTAAGTTATGAGGCAGTCAGCTGTAAACTCGTTTTTTCTTTAAGCTTTGAAGAATCTGAAGTACATCATTTTCATCATGATTAAAAAGATCTATAAACATGATTTTACAATACTTAAAACATGCGAGATGGTAATGTGAACACAATTCTTTTTATTAGTTATCAACAGTCTCTTACTCTTGTCATCTTTACGGTAAACTGATTACACTCATAGTTAGTCAGTCATAACAGTTTTTTTTAATTACATCCACATTTATTTTTTACTTTACACTAAGTTTTATTAATGTTTTAACTTCAACCAGCTTCTCACCGAGTTCCTCAGACTGGGAGTGTAAAAAAAGGTAAATGAACCATTTACAGAGTATTACTTTTTAAAACTTAAGTGTTGACAACTAATTAGCATTTAATTAAGTAAAAGCATGTACATATATTGGCTGAAGTAAAAGATAAAAACAGAAGCAATTACTGTTAAAACATCTGATTTACAAATGGTAAAAATATAATACACACACAAGTTACGATTTCACTTACTAGGAACATCAGCTCAACTACAACAAGCTTTCATTTCATACACCTTAAAACACATTCAAAACATTCCTCACATCATAATACTTTATTTTGGAGTAAGCAAAGTTATCAAATTACCAGTGATGATTTATAGAAATACTTTAAACTTGTCACTTTCTGAGGAAAATCTGTCAAATTTTACAAACCATTTATGATCACAAATTATCTCTAATCTACAAATATACTTTAGTTTACAGAACTATATTCTACATACAATTAGATATTTACATTTACAATTACTATAAAACCTGGACTACAACTTTTGGTTCACAGACAATATATTGAAATACTGAATTTTGTATACTTTTTTTTTAAAAAAAAGGTAGATTTTAAAATGCTACATCAAATATTCACCACTCTTACATAATAAATAACACCATCTATAAGGTGAGGATATTTTATGCTTGTCTTTAGGCAAATAAACCAAAGAAAGAGAATCAAATATATAAATGTATCTTTCATCAAAATATTACGTTCAATGAATACATTTTTAATATCACATAAATCAAATATAACTGTATTTAGAGCAAGTACGAGGTTGTGAAACTTTGGTTATTTTGTCCTAATAATTTTTTTGTAAATGTGTGTGTCACATAAAAACCATTATTTGATTTTTACTAGTACAATTTAAAACTTTCTTTTGATTGTAAATGATATCCAAAACTTACAAACTTCAATGTTCATGCTATACAATATAAACATGTTGACTTTCTTCAGATTACTAACAATTACGTTAAAAAATACGAGTTTAAACTTTGCTATTTTTAAATAACTGTAGTTTTCGTTTCCTGCGACGAATAAGAAAAATGAAATAAAGTATTGCCAAGAGGATTATTGATGTCATGTATAAAACTACACATAAACTGATATCAGTGCCACTAAAATATCCAAAGTTCCAACTTCCAAGTATTCCATAATCTAAATGATTTTTATTCATACCTTTTTTACCTTCTTGCTCTAACAGATTACTATTATCTATATTTTTCTGTTTTTTTAATAGCTTGTGCTCTTCATTAGGTGAGCCAAAAACAATATTTTTGGCACTGTAGAAAGCTGTAAAAAATTTTAAAACGGCTTTTAAGTTCCAGCTAACACTATTTTCATCCGATTCTAGATGACATTCAGAACACATCTTTTTTGATGGAAATTGGATCTTTGGGTGATTAGGATCTTCTGTTAAATCCCCTTCCAGTCGTTTATTTGCTCGATTGTGAGCATTCCACAGCCATAAAACAGTGTCATTTGGGTTTTTAAGTTCCTGCTTTAAAGAAGCGGCCATTCGATTAAAGTTTTTTGAACATTCTCGGCATGTAAAGAAGTTCTGGATGTACCCATTAATAGCATATAAAATCCAGTACGGGTCTGGGTTTTTACCTGTTCAAATCAAATAAAAAAACATAATTAATGTAACAAAAAAAAGGCAGATCTAAAGGGTTTAAATTTTTCACAGAGACAAAGCTTGGTGTCATCATAGTTATTAGTTATGTACAATACACTGAAGTCTTTTGATAAAATAATACTGTCTAAAAATACACAAATTCATGTAACAATAAATACGCACAGCTACAGATTTTATAATTTGAACTGTTGGAAGCAGCTAATTACTGGTTTTCATAGCTAAAGCATGCTGAATATCAAAAACAAAACATTATCTAAACATAGTCTGCAAGCAAAGATTTTAAACATAAATCTTAAAACACTAAATTTTTTGAAATTTCAAAATTTAGTTGGAAAATAAAAGCCCTCTCTGAAAGAGAAGTACGATAAACTTTGTTTTTTCCTCTCCAATAGTATTAAAAGTACAACTAATCTTTTGCTTTGCTTGTAAGTTGTGGGTTCTTGTCTTCTAATCAACTAAATAAAAATAAACGTCAGGTTTCTAAATATATATATATATTCTTGTTTTTGTAACTTCTTCTTTAATCAAATTATTCATTCCACTTACCCTGATAGTGTTTTTCTAATGCTTGTACAGTTAAGACATGAAAAAGCATCCAAAGACCACAGGGGTAGCCTCGAAAACGAGGCTGAGTTCCACTGCAACCTTGCCATTCTTTCATCTGTGGGATGTAGATTTCCTCTGTCTTTGAAAAAGAAAAGAAAAACAGACAAACGTTTTAGAATTTCACTGGTATTTTAATTTCAGAACTTTAAAGTGTTTGAAATTTATGTTTATTTCCTTTCTTCCAAGTTATTAAATTGTTGGTGAATACTAATTACCAATTTTTATCTTTTTAAGTCTGAAACATTTTATATTTATTGGGTGAACATGTAATGTAATCACAAGACTTCAATATCAAAACATCATCACCAAAGAACATTATATATTTTTTTTATTATTATTAATGCATTTCCAGATTCTTCATAAAATTTGGATTTGGTTCAATGATTATATTGTTGTTCTGAAGGAAAAGATCAGTTAGTTCACAACAACTAAGAAATTATCTGTCTACATAACAAAATTCAGTTAATTTTTTCTTTTTTTAGGTTGAGAGCTACAAAACGAAAAAAAATTAACATACCATAAAACTAATTATGTTTGATTTAAATGATCTGTAATTACAGTTGTTCAATATTTTATTTTTTCTACTAATTATTAAGACATATGTACTTAAGTAGTCTTTAAAAGCTGAAATTGATTTAATATTGTTTTATTATAATTGTACACTAGGGGGGTAACTCGTGCTTCACATACAAAACATTTTTTTGGTTGTGATATTTTGCATTTGAATGCTATGCGAGGCGTCCCAATGACTGCAAGGTTAAACCTATTCCATAACATGTGATATCTACCAAACACGTATAGTACAAAAGACACTTTTAGCGAAATGTTGTGATGAAAAATGACAAACCATTGACAAACATCAAATCTAGCGATGCTTTCAAAACCTGGGTATCAGGGTCAAGTATTAAAACTGAACAGTGTGACAGTTACTGGTGCTGTAAGTGTCTATAAACAAATGAAGAAAAATCACACATAAAAACCTTAAGACATAAATATTGCTGTCCGAGATGAGGCTCTGAGGGATGACAGATCCATTCCCCAAATATCTTTTCCTTTGCAATGCACAGTACTATCTACACCAACCCCTCCCTTATGTATGTGGTGATGTCATCAGTACTTCCCTACTCCTAATTTCATTTTTGCTTAGTCTAAAGAAATTTAAAAAGCTTCCCATGCATACATTCACACACGTTACTCTTTTACTTACATAGACATTCACCCTTTCAACATACATTTAGTAAGTTAAAATAATGATTGGTTTAATTATCTGAAGGTTTTATTCAAGTTTTAACGTGAACTAATTCCACCTGAATATCATCCATGTATTTTAGCATATCTTCAACCAATAGACTGTTGGTTTCTTTTGAAATCCATCGGTACAGTTCTTTCAAAAATCCAACCACATGGGGCTTTCCTGGAAAAAACTGAACAAAATGAAAACAATTATTAACAAGGCACTTCAAACAATTTTTGTAAGTTTCCCAAATTGTTGTTTATTTCTTTGTATATAAACCTCGGGTATTAGAAAGTGAACAAGAGATACAAAATATTTAGTTATCAATTTTGAAAAATTTGAAGCTTTTAGGCCACTGACAATGTTTTAAAAGTTAATTAAATTAACAGCAAACAATTACTTTCATAAAAGTTTCCAGTAAGAATAAATAAAATCCTCCAGCTTTTCAGTAATTATTCATTTATTTATACATGAAAGTTAACTAAGACGTTTGTTTGTAATTAAGCACAAAGCTACACAATGGGCTATCTGTGCTCTGCCCACCACGGGTATCAAATCCCAGATTCTAGCGTTGTTAGTCCACAGAAATTAACGCTGTGCCACTGGGGGACATCTAAGAAAGACTGTTAGAAAAACTGCATTTCCACACTTGCTATCTATAAGGCAGCTTTTTTTTCTAATTTTTTTTTCTCAGACCAAGGAGGGTTAACTAAGATTACAACAAGGAAACCAAGAATATTTCATATTAAGTTGGTATTCTAACTACTGTAATGTTAAGAAATTGCATCTAACTAGAAAACTATACAAATTTCAACAGAAAACGTATTTCACTTGTAACTTACTTTACTTAGAGCAGCCAGGTACTGTTGTAATGCTTTTAATTCTTTCCCTTTAAGGGTTTTATAAACTCCCACTTCTTGCCTTAAGGAATAGCTAAGCACATTTTCCAAGTCTACCATGTATACTCTAGAGAAAAAAAAAATATATAGATATACATTATCTAATAGTAATACAATCTATATATATTAGTTAATTATTAAGCTTTAGAGTACCTTAGAGTTTTTACACCTTCATGCAAAAACTAAACTAATATTTAGGTAAAGATATATTTTTAAAACGTCACAGTTGTATTTCACTAATTTTTATAGCTTATCAAATTTTGTGCAAAGCTACACGAGTGCTATCTGCACTAACCATCCATAATTTAGTGGTGAAAGACTAGAGGAAAGGCAGCTAGTCATCACCACCCACCGCCAACTCTTGGGCTACACTTTTACCAATGAATAGTGGGATTGACCATCACTTTATAATGCCCCCACTGCTGAAAGGGCAAGCATGTTTGGTGTGACGGGATCCGAACCCACGACTCTCAGATTGCGAGTCGAGTGCCCTAACCACCTGGCCATGCCGGCAAGCTTATCAAATATAAAGATAGATATAAAAATGTACAGAGCAAGGAATATTTTCAGTACATCAAAATTAACTAATATAATTTAACAAACTTTTTAATAACTTTTCTTTTGAACACTGAACACCAGTAACACACACACACACAAACATTAATTACTAAAAAAAATTAAAATTATAAACAAATATAAAGTAATATTACAAACAGTACAAAATATTTTAATGTGTCCCAAATTTACCAATACATAATAGTTTTTAAAAAGGTGTTAAAAATTACTTGTCAGAATTATTTCCTGTCTTCACAAGGTCCACTGGTTTATCCATATAACCTCCAACAATCTTTCCATTGTTTACAATCTCTTTCAAAACCTTCACAAACTGTTCTCTAGCATATCTTTCTTCTTTTGCACTATGTTAAAAAAGAATTTTAGAAGCCAAATCAGTAAACTGTTAAATATGTTTACTACAGCTAACAACAGCAAAACATGAAGATAAGAATCAACGGTAGCTCCTCTTTTTTTAATGGTGGAAAAGTAAATTTACTCAGACAAACCACAAACCAGTAGCAAAAAATTCATATTTCTTTTATATGTCATGATTTAAAAGACTGTTCGTTTAGATATTATTAATTTACTTATTATGTGAGTGAATATTTTAATACTGTTTAGGTTTGTTATAATGAGAGTTAAAAGCAGACGATTGTTCGAAGTTGTGTTTATAATTAATTGATATTGAGACTATTGATTGTTGCATGCAATACAATGACGTTGAAAATAGAGATTTCTAGAAGGTGGGCAGACATTTAAGTGATAGAGATATAAGTAGTGTGAGATAAGCGGAAACAGCAAACAGACAATGGCAGAACAGAGTAAAGTTACACAAGGAAATGTTTGGCGTGATGTTAACTACTGCAGAAGTGATAGGCCTAACGTTTAATATGTTAGAGTAAGACTAACAGTAGAAAAAGAGATAATGATAATAGTATTCCATCAAAGCATGGTTCTAGGGTAATTGAAACAGCTCAAGTGCATTTTGACAAAAGGAATAGATAATATTTTGAAGAAAGAAGACAAAACGATTACGGTAACTCATGCCACAATTGTAAGTGAATCACACACAGAATGCTAGTACGATAGTGATAGAGAATATAATTTGGCTTGTCAACTGAAATTCTAAAACAATTTAATAGGCCTAAGTGGACTTTTAACAGGAAGAGGAGGGCTATATATATATATGATTTATGATATGCCTATAATCTCTATAGTGTGAAGAATTTGTTATACATACATTTAACTTGTTCCGAATATATATATATCATTTTGAAAACAAGTGAAGTGCATGCTGTTCATTTATCATCAACAAGTCACTGTAGAAGAATCATAAGCCCAACAACAACACAATATATATTTATACTACTAAGAAGTATACGTAAAAGCTTTTTATTTTGACAATTGACAGAGAAGAACTATATTTTAAATTATGACATTATATAGATATTTAAAATTTCCTTTCATTAGATGAAAGAAATGTTAATATATCAAACCTCTGTCATGAGTAAGCTTCTTTCTATTACTCTTCTTCTGCCACAAGTGTGACACAAAATTCAGTGAAGGTACTAAACCTGAATAAGTAATGATGCTTTCCAATGCTTTAACAGCTATTGGCATTTAAACAGTTATATTTATTTTCTATCTCATCACTCAGACCAGTTGACAAATTCCGATGGTGAACAAAAGCCCTCCTGGTCAGCGATTTGTAGCATAAAAATGATAGATGTGAAATGTCAGTTGAAATCTCTGATAAAAAATGTAACAGGAATGTGACGAAAAAAACAACAAAAAATATCTGCAGTCTAACATAATTTTTAGGCCTAATACTTTTTTTATACTGTTATTCTACAGTTTTCAAAAGAACGGATATCTGTGTTTCAAGATGTGATTACCTGTACTTTGTGCATGTACTGACTAAATTTAAACTACTCCAGTAAACTTGGCAATTGGACAATATCAGCAATTTGCATCTTTTGAAAAATTCAAACAGTGGATGTAAATAAACAGTTACTGACATTTTATGGCATTTGTTTGTGAAAAGCTCACAATTCAACAGGAGAATCTTTGAGAATGTAAGTATTTTTATAATTCAAGAAGGCAAAGAGAATCAGTCCACAAGACTAACAAAAGTTAGAACAGATACATAAAATGTCTTTAATGGTTTTATAGACACATTAGAATTATCTTTAAAAAGATTTGTCAATATCTCAATCTTGCAGGTGTCCAATATGCTTCCAAAGAAAATTAACATTTTCCAAAATTATAGTGTAGTTACAAATTTATTCCATGAATGCAAGTATTACATAAAAACGCAAATATAAAACAATTCCAGTATAGTATATTTTAACTTACAATAGCCAAGAATCTAAATCTAATAATTGAGTAATGGATTACAAAGTTACTTAATTTGAAACTATTTTGGAAGCAAGATAACCACTATTTAGAAAAGGAAAGTTCTGGAATAATACTACATAAAAAATATACTTCCTATAAAATCTGAACATTTTATTATCACCTTGTACATATTATGCTATCTTTATACAACTTGGTTTTTCTCCTAGATTTACTAAGTAGTGAACATTTTATTCAATGAATTTTTAAAATATCACTGTTTTAAGTTATTACATTTACAAACTTAAATGGACAGAAAACTGATTAATTCAGTACTTAGTTTCACACACTGAGTGTAAAATAAAGGTCAAATATTTAGTTTTCAAGCAAATTTTACTAAATTAGGTTATGGTGAGTATACTCACATGGCAATTACTTTTGAGCCACCCTTCCGAGTCAGCAGAAGGAGAAAGGAGGAGGAGGGAATTTTTTCCTTCCTCAAAAGCTGAGCCAGTAATACTTTGTTATTTAAATCTATGCATAGGATTTGAATATTCTTTTCTGCTGACATATCTAAAATAACCTGTAAAGAACGATATAAAAAATTCTGGTTACCTAAACATGGTAAAAATGAAAACAACTATGTAACTTGAAAATTTCTTCTCTTGAAAGATCAAAGAAAACTAATTATACCAAGTTTGGGCTAAACTTAAAAATAAAAATAACAGAAATTAAACAATATTAAAGATATTAAGAACCACTGTGTTGAATGGATCCCACAAAGACAAATTTATTTAATTAGTATAACATGAATTATTAAAACGTTTCTCCCAAAACATCCCTAACTGCAGAAACATATAAATAAATAAATAATAATGCTTACTTTATTTATTTATTTCTAAGTTTAAAATCTTGAAATTTGCATCTCTGCTTAGAATTATATTTAACAGAAATGAATATTCGTGATGAGAGTATATTTGTTTCTTTTATGGCCTGTTTTGTCATCACACTATAATCATCAGGATCAAGAATGTTTGAATACTGTGCTTGTGAATGATACTGCTGTAAACTGACCTATTGTTCATGTACCTGTACAATACAAGGATATATGAATGATTGAATATTGTGCTCATGAATGATACTACTGTAAACTGTGCATGTACCTCTACAATACACGTGTCAAGAACAACCTACTACATATGTTGTGATACTGTTCTTCAAAATAGAAATATTTTAATATGAGGTCAGGTTGGGTGAATATGACAAATGTTGCTCGAGGAACAAACACAATCATGTATAACTTGTCTCATAACTACAATATACAGTGCATGGTTTGCAACATTGACAGGAAATAATTAGGTCATAGCATTAAATATAATGCATAGTCTATCAGTTGCCTGAAAGACACAACTTCACATATTGATTTTTACAAGTCAGAAACAGTCCGTGTAGAGGATCAGGTTATTAAATGGTGGATTACATCTAAAATGGCTACAACTGAAGAATTTCAGGGTATGTTTTCATGCAATTAAAGGATAACCAGGAAGAGGAAATCATGGAGTCTGCTGGGAACAAAATGTATGTACATTTGTCAGGTAAAAAAAAAAGTGTTGAGGGAGCCATGCATACATTGTGTAAAATAATAATTTTGTCAATAAACTTGGTGAGAACCAAGAACCCACAAAAGTTCTGAACATGTTGGACAAGTGAAGTTGTTATTAGTCTATAACTGTTATTAGTCTACTAGTCTAGCTGTTGTTATTAGTCTACTAGTCTAGCTGTTGTTATTACTCTACTAGTCTAGCTATTGTTATTAGTCTACTAGTCTAGCTATTGTTATTAGTCTACTAGTCTAGCTATTGTTATTAGTCTACTAGTCTAGCTATTGTTATTAGTCTACTAGTCTAGCTATTGTTATCAGTCTACTAGTCTAGCTATTGTTATCAGTCTACTAGTCTAGCTATTGTTATCAGTCTACTAGTCTAGCTATTGTTATCAGTCTACTAGTCTAGCTATTGTTATCAGTCTACTAGTCTAGCTATTTTTATTAGTCTACTAGTCTAGCTATTGTTATCAGTCTACTAGTCTAGCTATTGTTATTAGTCTACTAGTCTAGCTATTGTTATTAGTCTACTAGTCTAGCTGTTGTTATTAGTCTACTAGTCTAGCTGTTGTTATTAGTCTACTAGTCTAGCTGTTGATATTAGTCTACTAGTCTAGCTGTTGTTATTAGTCTACTAGTCTAGCTATTGTTATTAGTCTACTAGTCTAGCTGTTGTTATTAGTCTATTTGTCTAGCTGTTGTTGTTAGTCTACTAGTAGACTAACAACAACAGCTAGACAAATAGACTAACAACAACAGCAATAGACTAACAACAACAGCTAGACAAATAGACTAACAACAACAGCTAGACAAATAGACTAACAACAACAGCTAGACAAATAGACTAACAACAACAGCTAGACAAATAGACTAACAACAACAGCTAGACAAATAGACTAACAACAACAGCTAGACAAATAGACTTTGTCTAGTTGTTGTTAGTCTATTTGTCTAGTTGATGTTAGTTTAATTGTATTTTATTCTTAACAACAAGTCATTCCTCAATGTTACTACACTTTTCTGAGAAAAATACTCTTTTGTAGATTACCTTGCATTTTCACACTAATTATATCTTATTGGAAGCCAGTAATAAAATGACACTAATAGTAACACACTTTTAAACTTGTGTCAGGCTTAGAAATAGTTTAAAAAATATTACATGTTATGAAAAACACATGCCATTATTGAAATATTCCAACAACCAGTCACAAAATGACATAATGTTTAGAGACAACACATTTCAGCTGTCCCATTCTCTAAACTAAACTTAAGCTATCAAATAAATAAACTAAAAAAAATTAAATAAAAATCTTAAAGCCAGCCCTTGCCATTCATATAGTTATCAAGTTTTCTCTTAAACTATAAAGAAAAGCAAATTTTCAAATTGATCTTTTTATAATACATCTCACAAATAATAATGTCTATTATTCTGCTACCAAACTAACAAAGAATAACAAGTTTTTTTTCCAAGCTTGTAAAACTTACTTCTTTTCCAATATACGAAGAAGGTGATTCGATAAGCAGGAAAACCTGGGAGATTTGTTGAGGAACAGTTTTCCATACATCATCTATTGTTTTTGCACTGTTATGTAAAACACCCTTGTATATGGTAAATATGGTATCATAGTGTAATTAATCACTACTTTTGTTATGTTTACATATATTATCAGTTCTTATAAAAAAAATATAAATATATACAAAGTACAAGTTTTTAAATGTAATCTATTATCGACATTTCTTCACTTACATGAAAGTTTCAGAGCATTTTACTTCAAACTTTACTCGTATTTTGTACTTCTCCAAGAAAGTTTATTATAATTTTTTTTCTTTTGTAAATTGCTATACATTATTTCATCATTATTTTCTCTTTTCATCAACTGTGGAAGAAAATTGGTACTTATAAAAAATAATTTAAACTTTTGCTTAAGACTGTAAAACAAAAAAGAGATTCTAAATTAATAGAATTTTCCACTATTTGGAAAAATGATTACCAAGAAAAGTTATTCAAATGTTGTATATTTTTAACTATTTTAACAAAATCCTTCATATGTACAAGTTTTTTATATACTATAAAAATATTTTATGAATAATTTAACTATTACAATATTACATTAAGCTTCAATATATTTTATAAATCCCACTAATTTACATATTTTATGAAAAACTATTTGATAATCAAACTTAATATTTTAAATTAAAAGCCTACAACTATTTCACCATCACACAAAAGGACTTGGATATTTTGATGTATTTAACCTAACAAATTATAATATCTAATACATAGTTTAAGAATGGAAACTGTCTAGATAGAATTCTAAAGGCTTAGCATGGATACGACCAGTAATCGCTGGTGGAGACATGGCACATTTAGCCTATTCAAAACAAATGTTCTTTTATACTCCCATGATATCTAACTGAGAAACATGAAACTCAACTAGGTGCTCCATCAAGTCTACGAGACATGGAATAGGATTAAATCAGTCTGGAACTATTAAAAAAAATACACTGTGCCTACAGATCTTACCAACTCTACACACTTACAGACTGTATTTAAATTACAAGTTAACAGTTTGTGAAAATCAGAATACCACCAATCAATTTTAATCGTCTTACCCGAGTGGAACAAGTGAGGGCCAATCTTTTGGGGTAGGTAAATCTGAACTCAAAGTAAGAAAATCAATGAGCTGATGTCTAAGTGCTTCTACATTTTCTTTGTGATTTGCATCCTTCCCAATGTTGTTTTTATCTACATTGGCCCAAAAATGCTGAGGTAAAAACAAAAGAGAAAAATATATTTTTGCATCTCAAATGAAGCTGAATTCTATTTCTAAGCTTAAATAAATTCTGTATTAGTTACAGATCCTTCAGACAGATAAAAATATGTCTAAACGTGTTTGGCATTTGAAGACTTTTATTTTTAAATGTTATAAGATCATAGAAAGTGAGCATGAACAATATATTATGAATTTTAAAAATGTTCCAAAGATCTTTAAAAAAAATTTTTAATATTTAAAAAAAAACTTGGATATTTTGGAAAATATCTATTTATGACCTCAGAGTTCAAAGTTCAAAATTATTTAGTTGCAATACTGTCTTTAAAACTAAACCAGTCCCTTACTCTTCTTTTTGAGAATGTTATTTTTAGAAGAAAATACTGTGTATAATTTGAAATTAAATTCCACATTTACATACATAGGAGGAAAAAAAAACATGTAATTATGTGCATCCAATAATTTTTCAGAATTGCTTTGGTGTCTTATTTACATGCAAGTCTTTGGTTTGTCAAACTGAGTCCTCTTTAGAAAGTGATCTTATAACAATTTTAAATTTGACTGATATGTGTCAAACTATTTTTATTAAATTCACAAAAAACAGATCCCTCTAATATTTCTCCAAAAATCCTGTTATACTATAACAAATGTTTAGGAAAATATCCTTAGATTAATTGAATTATTAACTACAGTTTCTTACAAAAAAATCCCTATCGGAAAGAGAAAAAAAAAACCAATTTTAAATCATTTTTATGAAGAACATGGAATCCAAGGAAGTATATATATAAATCAAATATAAAAACTAGACATAGAATTAAATTCTACACATTTACTTTAGTTGTTATACAGTTATAAATCATTTTTATAGCTAATTTTGATAAACATTTGCAGACTGGACTCACTCATGTGTAAAATATAAACAACTTACTCTAATTGAAGGAAATTTGTTAACATCATAGTCACGACATAACTTCAAGTTCTCCTCGTCTGCACAGTTAACAGCACCTGCACTCACAACATTTTTCCAACCTGTAAGAAGATTAGGATTTTGTATTGAATAATATTTAGAATAAATATAGTTCAGTGTGTTTAAAATCTTCAAGAGTGAACCAGATCACAAGTTTACTCTACATACAAGTCTTTTCTGATCTGGAAATGTAGAAAGAGACCCAGAGTATTTCCCAGTCATCAGGTTACATACATTAAATAACAGAACATGAAAGAATGGTATTACAGAACATAACGGATACCAAGCCCGCATTAAGGTAGTATGAGGCCCTGGTGCACTTATTTTTTTGAGGCCTCTTGAATAGGGTACAAGCAAATTTGAAGTTAATTATAATTAATACAGTGTCCCTATAGCGCAGTGAATAGCTCGTTGGATTTCTAATCCAAAGGTACCAGGTTCGTTCCCTGGTGCCAAGGCAAGGAAAAAACAATTTTAGGGTAATGTTTTGGCATGCTTCCATAATATTGTACAATAACTATATTGTTTTTTTTATGTACCTAATTCATTCTTATTTGCCATGTTGTACAAGTAAATAATTATTATAATAATCATTTAATTGTAATATTTCATTCTTAAAAGTTAGATGCATCATATTCTAATATACTTCAAATAATTAGCTCATATTCTGTAATTAACTTAATATGTATTAATTATAATAATAATAATAACTGCTGTAGACTCCCACTGGAGCATAGGGCCCCAACAACACCTTGCCGACGGAAGTTGTTGTTGCAGTAATTTTTTAGCAGGTTGGTTTTTACGGGGCAGAGTTGCTAGCCCCACGCCCAACCCTCCTCCTTTCTCATCCTGGACTTGGGAACAGGCAATGGTGGTGGCATCCTGGAAGCAAAATCTTTAATTACATCTTCATAATCTATTTGCCTAAGCAATATCCTTTCTGTCATAAGCAAGGAAAAGGCATTTAAGCATTCATTTAACATCGAAGTACGCAATTCATTTTTTACTCTAGCCATTTTAGAAAAAGCTCTGTCTGCAATTCGTGGTGGTTAGGCTCAAGTATATTCTTAATGCCACATCAACATTAGTAAAAACAAATTTGAGTTTTTTTTTTTTTATTACTTTGATGCATTGTTGGGCGGATGGTGTTTCACTATCAACAACTTTCGCAAACTGCACCATATAATCGGGAAAAGAGCTGTCTGGATCTGGAGAGTATACATCTCCCAATCTTTTAGCTGCAGCAAAAATTTCAGTCTCATTTAAATCTTTAAAATTAGATAGAAAACCAAACTTCATTTCTGTTGCTTTATATGCAGCAAGCCAATTTTCCAAGCACATTTGTCACTTGTCAACTACCAGTACAAAATTTTCTACGCAAAACTTCAGTGTTCCAGATAAACTATTTTCACCTTAAGAAGTCTCATCATTTGCCAGCTATATTTTTCTCTTTCTAGAAATCCCACTCCTAAACTGTTCTTCTACTATACTTGAAAGTTGATGAGCTTGAATTTTGATTCTATCGAATCCTTCACAGAAAGAAAAAAATGGTAATATTGATTTATTTTGTTGTTGTTTTTTTATGGTTGTTATAAGATTGGCCAAATTGTTCTAGTCTGTATTGAGTAAGAATAGAACAAATAACAGATAAAATATGAAGATTTATCAAAAAAAGAGGGAGTTAAACTGATGGTCTGGATCGTCAGTAGGGTCCTCTCACAGTTTGAGCCCCTGGTGCAACTGCACCATGGTTAATGCGATCCTGACGGATACTGAACATGAAAGCTTATCAAAATTATGATTTCATTGCACATTTTATATGTTCGCTATGCCTACCTTTGAATATGCTTCTGAAATTTATTCTTTTTTGTCAGTATTGTTTAGTTTTGTGATTTTGATCTTGTGTAAATGATAAAGTAAAACCAAACTGGTTATTTTAAAATCCAACATTTAATTTATATACCTACTTCTTTACACTGTTCAAATACTCAACAAACCAGATCTGTAGTCTCATTTGATGCAAATTGAATACTACAACAAAAATATCTAATTAAAGATTACAAGAATATTTTCAACAGATGACAGATGGTAGTGGTTCATGTAAAACAAATAATTCAGTGTATTCATTATAATCATATAAAAATATGAAATTATTCTAAACTGTAAATGATTATTTGTGTAATATATATGTTAATAATAAAATTACTGGTTCGGCTAGCAGACGACAGATGAAAAATTGTTTTGTGCACCTTCACGTGAGGGAAATGTGTCCTGCTCAGTGAATGTGGTGGACAAACAAGCAGAAATTTCGAGTTTCATACATAGATATCAGTCGTTCATAATAGGGATCATCCATTTGTTCTTCATTATTATTATTTAATATTGTTCCACCAGCCTAAAGCAAAATTGGCTGTGAATATTGTAATAAAACCAGGGCAATATTTTTAAATGCACTATTGCACATTGTTTAGGGTAGTTTTTAAGCTTATTTGATTACTTAGCAAACAACGGTGGCTGTCTAAATGTCAACACCCAGTTGTTTTAATGTAGTCTGTGGTTTAGATGAAGTCTCAATCTATTACATGTCTAAAAGCTGTAATATTTAGGAAAGTCAAAATAGTGATTTGTAGCTTGAGGAAATAATGTCAACACTATGTCTCAAACCTTAAGCTTGTTTGTTTATTTTTTTGGCAGTTGCATTTTCATTTTAAGCTACCTATCTAAACATCTTTTTTTTTTCAAGATCCCCGTTCTCCCTTTTTAAATTAACAATTTTTAATTATCTTGTTAAACTAAAGAAAGTAAAACAAAGAATTTATATTTTAATACAAGCCATAAGAACATTTAAATCGGGTTATATAAGGGGAAGTGTTTACATGTAAATTTTGTATTATGTACCTTGGATTGGGAGAAAAAGAAATGATGGATTTTTTTCCTATGGAACACTCGTAAGATTCATCATCTTAGTTTTTGAGCTTCACCCTTGCCCTCTAAGGCTCTATCAATTTTATCACTTTATGTCCATTGACAATGTAAACATGGATTACCATACCAATGAAATAGGAAATTCGAGCCACTGGGAGTGATTTTTACATTACGTTAATTTATGAAATCGCATTACCAAATGATTTGCAGTTTATTAGCCTACCTTTGATATCTTTCGCAAATTCCTTCCACGTTGGCGCAAACCTAATACACGCACCGCACCAGCTGTTGTAGAATTCTATTACCCACGCGTTGTCTTTGTTCAGAACAGCCTTGTCAAAAGTATCAGAATTTAATGATAAAACATCATCGTTAATCGAATACAAATCGGCAGAAATGCAATGAAAACAGAATAAGAAAACATATCTATACAGCAGGAGCCTAAAGTTGAATGCAGACATACTGTAATAATTCCTAAGGAGTATGACTTTTTAACTGAGTTCCAGGTTAACCTTTGAGTTATCACGAGTATTGTGAAAATCAAAACTCAATATTGATGACGATGGCATCATGGCAGTTTTAACACAGCGTGACACAAACATCCTACCCTTCTGCCATCTATTTACATATTTAATAGTAAAAAAAGAGAATTTAAAACCAAGGTTCATACTAATATATTACACAGTTGCAAATATGTTATAAGAAAATTAAAACAAAATCTGTAAACAAAACAATTCAGGAAGTTCTTTAGAATATTATTATCTCGGTTTTATTTTTTTATAAATATACCGACGAGACATTTTTTTCTTTGAAGATGTTTTTTTTTTCTCGAAATTCCATAATTTAACTCACCTAATCAAAAAATCTGCCAAATTGGCTAAGTTAAAGAAATCTACGCTGTAAGATGGAAAAACGAAACATCTTTAAATAGTAGGGTATTCAGATATTGTTTTATTTTTACATCGTGCCAACTATCAAAATCTTCTGAAGACTTTAACCTTTTTCTGAATCTTATCTTTAACATTAGGCAAAACACCTTAGGTAACCCACGATTAACTGCTAAAAATAAAAAAATGATTAAAATAATTGTCTTATACGTGTTTTAAAGGATATCTTTCTGGGTATTTCAATATGTGCTGAACTTTATTCGATCTTATTCGGGTGATAAATGTTTCTCGCAATGTCAACTCCTTATCAATAAATAGGCTCGACTGAAATATATGTATATACATGAAACTTTGACGATATCTAAATCATGATATCACACTCTTAAGTAACGATATCATTTTATTAACGTTGTTTTTCTTAAGTATTATGAGAAGAATAATCTAAGTATTCTGAATAAAAGTATTTTACTTATGAAGTGTTTATTTATTTATTTCATTACGGATAAAAATCAAAGCGCGTGCACCTCTATTTTGTTTGTTCATTTGTTAATGCCATAGTTATTCAGGCTATCTGCCGCTGTCTCTAATTCTGAGTTGCCAACCAGAGGGAAGACAACCAAATAGCACTATCTACTGAAAACTCTTGAACTTATCTTTACCAATGAATGGTGGATTGGTCATCAAATCATAACGCCTTCACAGCTGAAAGGGAGAGTATGTTTGGCACCAGATTTTGAAACATCTGTTCATTTTTCATAGTATGCTACGGTTGAATATATACGTCGTGGAAACAGCTTGAGTCGCTTTTCTAGATGGAGATCCTTCTTGATTATGTTTGGTGCTGTTCCCTGGCGCACGTGGACGGTTTTGCCATTGACCTTTGCGTTTATAAATTATCAGATATTACAAGATGCCGCATTTTGTTTACCAAGGCTGGGGTACGTCTTGTTTCTGAATAGTTCTTGTTCCCTAACCTGATCCGTATTTAAAGAGCTTAAAAGTGTGAATATAAACAAATATTACACCAACTTTTTGAACCTGATGACTTCTCTTATTGTGTATTTGTATTTAGAAATTACTTTACCGTAGACAGTCATCATACGTTTTTGATGAAAAGATTAAAAGTATTAATGATACGTTTGAAATTTAAAACTTTTATGAGGATAATTGGTTTTTGTGTTTTTTTTCTTTTAATCAGATCCATATTTCTTCAGTCTAACTATAAATCATATATAGTAAAGTATTAGATACATGCATGCACGGACTTATATTTTGTGAGAAAACTTTTAAATACACATTATGAATGTCTAAATTTGATTGACAGTCTTTCACCAAAATAATTGCCTTTTGATCTCTATATTTTATTTCCATACATTTATTCAATAAAGAGCTGGTTCATAAGTGATTGTTCTCTAAACATTTTATTTGTATCTTCAAGAAACTGCTCCCTCTTTTTTCTTTTTTTCTAAACTATTATATATAATAGTAATTCTTAAAAACACTATTAGGAAGAGCCATGTTGTTTATATTAAACACTCGGCGAAACCTTTGGATGTATAATTTTTTTTAATGAATACAAGCAGAAATATTTATGAAATGCACATTTTTTGTATAAAAATTTACAAGAAACATGTTATATTAATAAGCAATCCCTCAGTATTCAATAAATATATTATATTTTACTACTTAGAAAACTCAGTATTTTACACAGTGTAAATTTGCTACTCCCAATTTTCCCACCCATTTACCATAACCATTCTGCTAAACATGTACTAAGAATAATTAAATAAAAACATTAAAACCGTTTTTGTTCACCTAATCTTTCAAGAAAAGCACACAAACAGCGAATATATTATCAGATACACAGAATAATAATAACTCAGGATAGTGATAATTTAATTAACATTTCATAAAAATTATTTAAAACTTCACACTAGAATTGTAAAACTACGGCCATTAGATATTTTAAAATATACCAAAAACGGTACCAATTTTTACGAGATGAATGTTTTTTGACAGTTGGAGTTTTAGTTTTCAGATACTTTTTTATATTTTTTTCTGTAAAACATTCGAAATTCCGAATGATAATTATCAGTGCAAATTTCGTTCAAACAATATATGTTTATATCCATAAAAAAAGATTAATTCATTTTTCGATATATTTTGGATTTTTTTAGCACTAGAAAAAAACAAGTATAAAACTGGATTTGATTTATTAATATAAATTACGAAATATCGCTATACTTCTTCGATATTGGTAATGCCTAATGTCAGCTTCAACTTTGCTCAAATTTCTTAAATGAAAGTAGTAGTAAAAAATTACCATCTCGTACTCACATTCATCTGGCGAGCTAATCTTACCAACAGTACTTACAATCTTTGTAAATCATGAAACTGGGTAATTTAAACATATGTAAGATACATAATACAGATAAATAAGTTTGTTAGAGTTAATATAGTTTAAATTATAATCATAAAATAGTAAAAGCTTAGGCCTACGTGATTGATCACTTTTTTGTACGTTAAGAAGAACGACTCTGCTACGGCTACACCTTAAAACAGTTAAGGTTGCGACGTAGATCTAAGGTACAATATGACCTATTTTACCCCAAGTTAAACCTACTGCCTACTGCATAATAATATACTGCTAAATTCATATAAAACTAATGGTGCAAAGATACTCTCTGCTAAGGAAAAGCTTTCAAAGCTCGCCTTTGGGTGACAAAGTAGGCTACAGTACATATGTAAACCACCAACAAGGTGGCGCTAATGACACTCAAAGCCATGACCGATGTTTTCGAAATACAATCATCACCACGGTTATTTACGCTGACAGATTCGTGGATATTGTATGTATCTGGGAGAAAAAAAGAAGAAGAAAAAGTTAGATATTATTTAATTGTCGACAAAGACAAATACTAATTTAATCTCTTATGACAATCGGTATAACAATATATTTATATACTACTATGTGAAATAAAGAAAACAAAACCTAGTAAAACTATGAATTATAAGACTTATGTAGTCGACTTGCATAGATAAAAATTACAGTCCACACCAGAGGGTGCTGAGAATGCATTAAGCCTCTGTGTCAATTTTAGTGAAAAGAAAAGAAAATCCGTAATATAATCATTAAACATTTGATCCATTGTATAATATCAAATAATATATTAGGCGCAATGCCAAGATATTATCCACATATATAAATTAATGTAGGTTACTATATGGTAAGTTAAAAAGGACATAAATATCCTATAAATATATTTTTATGTTGATTTTGCATGTATTTAACAGTATTCACATAAACGGTAATCTTATATTTTTTTTAACTATGACATACATCGTACCAGTGGTGTAGTGAGGGGAGGTGCAAGGGCATTTGCCCCTAGGCGCCGGGTTCGGGGGCGCCAAATGAACACCCAGTTTACCAAGAATTTAGCTGTTCCCATATTTTTTTTATGCTTGACATCAAATATTAGTATTTCATCAGAAATATCACGCCTAAGGAAATACCTTGGTTTTCAGTGTTAGATTGATTAAAATACACTGACTTATCATAGTTGGAACGAAATTTAGCAATTTTGTGAACATCTGACAATTTGAGGCCATTTTTTTCAAGCTGTCGATGGATTTTTGGCGGCCCAAATATTTCTATCTCAGATTTATTAATACCAATCGGGAGAGTTGTGGTGTATTACTATATTAATATAGAGTATAATATGCAACACATTGTTATACAAACCAAAGATCTTAATTAGCTAATAATTCAAATTCATAAATAATAAACCATAACATTTATACGTCTGGCAGCCTTTCAAGTGGCAAGTGAATCAGTCACGTGACACGTGCATGTGTTGAACTCGGAAGGGTGTTAGTGCTTCCCTTGAACTTTAATTTTTTACCGGCAAGTGCCATTAATTTATTTCCATATAGTTCTGTTGTTTGTTCATAAAGACGTTTTGATATCATATATAGAAGGTTCTATAAGAGAACTGTGCTCAATTTGGGGACATGGCTAGCAGGCGTTCAGAACTTACCCACTGTGGTTAGGCCAGGTGGTTAGGGCACTCGACTCGCAATCTGAGGGTCGCGGGTTCAAATCCCCGTCACACCAAACATGCTCG